CGTTCTAGGGATGTCAATAATGAATTCTTCTGACTGATAGAATTCTTTTTGTTCATTGTTGGCATTGAGAGTAAATATTATTAATAGTTGATATCTAAAACATTGATGAATTCGTTTTTCCTTAAATAAATATAATAAAAAGATAATGCATATCGTAGTGTTATAGCAAATAGACGATGTAAAAAATACTTTAGCATAGTGAGAACATAGGAAAAAGGCTGTTAGTGCAATCTCTCTCGAATTTAAATGTGAAACATGACTTGATCTTCTAGAAATACAATAAAAAGGTAGCTAATATTCGATAACGAGACTTTATTGATATATGCTCTTTGATCATATATGATGAAGGTCTACTTCAATCTGTGATGTGTTCGCCGTAATGATTGTCATTGTTTGTTTGAAGCGAGATGTGGGTGCAAATTTTTATCCTATATACTTCAACATTCGTTTTAGATGGTGTTTTTGAGAGATTTTCCAACAGAAGTGAAAGAAAAAAGTTTTCTTCGAAGAACAGTTGCCTTAAATTTGCATGACAAAACTCGATAAAATTCAATACTTCAACTGGCTTCACATTTTTACTTCCTACCTTCATAACAACAAGTTTAGCTTTCTGTGCACTTTCATGATGTTGAGAGCATACTCTTTCAATGTAATTGCTATCACATCAATTATAAATACTATTCTTTTCTTCTTACAGGTAAAGAATAAAAAACAAAAAAGAAATAAAAATAAAGCTATAACATTGCATCTCAACTTTCGACATATCTGCGATGTGTTATCATGTAAGATCTAGACGAGACAAAATGATGAGATATAGGCCTTATTGGTATCTGCAGAAAAAAATAGTATAAATAGAAAAGTTAAAATGTATCGATAGATAATCAACAAAATAAAATGAAACTAATATTAAAATTTCGATCGAAATATTTGATACTATAATGCATCACATTTATTTTCTTCATTTTATTATCATTGATTGTTACTTAGTAGAGTTCATTTTGATTACATAGTAGACAAGTCTATCCGATAATTATTATTCAATGATAGATTATTAATTAATTATTCGCGCTAATCGTAGGATTTGATATCATTTGAAATATTCTTTCTTCACGTATAAATTGAGACAGAGCTGGAACCGGCTAGGAAATGCTAAACTGGCCGGGCGTAGTCGGTTGAAATCATAAGTTGAACCGGTGAAATTCTGGTGGAAAGCAGTTAAAAATCGAAAAAAATGGCAATTTTTTTTTCAACAAACGGTTTTTAGAAAAAATGCTTTCTAATAAGAAATAGTTTAGGAGCGCATGTAAAAGACACTCATCAAAATGAATCTTTTTAAAGAGCACCTCAGAACAAATGATTAAAAGAACATGTGTTGAGCACTTTTTTACGCATTCTGACAGAAAATCATACGACACCTTAATCTGTATGACCTAAAACAGGGTTAATAAAGAAGATTTTTCAAAGCTTTCAACCAATAAAATTCCGATTTTTACTGGGCTGGTTGAACCGGTTCGAACGCTGAATTGAAACCACTTAACTTTAGGTCATTTCCTCAGACAATTATTTGTACCCGATTACATAAGAAGAGAATGCCTTGAGAAATATCAGGAACTGCAATATTTATACAACACTGTCGATTAAGTATATCAGATATATTTTGTTAATAACAACTGAACAAGGATTTTTTTTGAAAAAAAATAGAATCATAGTATCTCAATTGAAGGGTAACTATTATCAATTATATAGAATGTTATTTTTTGAAAGAGTCCATACAATCAAAATTATGGATGCAACACAAATCTGAAGTAGGTCTGATATTTCATAGCACGGTCTTGGGGTTTTATTTATATTTGGGCTTGAACTCTGTGCTTGGATATATGAGTTATATTTGTACCTAAGTTTGGATCTGAGTTGAATTTGCACGAATTCCTAAATAGTTTGAGAGACGATGACGTTTATATCCATCGTTATTCATATATTCATTGACTACAATTAAGCAATGTCCAAATATTTTCTAAATAGTGATAGAAGTTTATGAAGTTCTTCTTGCTTAGAAATAAAAGCCGTACAGCTGAGTTGTCACAGCCGTCGATGGTAGGAACAATTTTTAAAAACCTAAGCTGTCACTGTCGATGCTTAGGCGACCCAGCTGTGCCACAGTTGAAAGCAATAAAAAAGTGTCTAAGATACTCAGCCGCGCCGCCGTGATACATATTAGTATTCAATTTTTGCAAATGTTGAATAGTTGGAATCAATCATCGGCTATGCTCTGCTCAATGTTAAAAAATATTAAAAAAGTTTACTTTTTAATCTATTGTTTTTTTAATTAAAAATCGACTAAAATAAGATAAAATCTATCTTTGAAGCTGAAAATCATATTTTAATAAGCCCAATAAAAATATTATTGATGTGAACTCATTTTGTCAGAATCTTTTACATGTCTAATTATAAAATGATATCTTATGTTGAAGTGTGGCATGTGTAAAAGGCTCGTTTAGCATTGCACCTACCATTTGTTCAGCTGTGAAGTCAGAAAAGCTCTTCAAAAATTTGACTTTTCACACTAAAACTGAGGAGAAATACGCTGTGCAGTTATTGTGATTCAATTGGATTATAAATCGAATAACCTCATCGAAAACAATACAACTTTTTCCACTTTTTGTGAAACATAATCTTAAAAACAGTGTTGAAGTATATAGGATACAAATTTGAAATTTCTCTCCCTCCCCCACAGACCGTGACAGAAGTTTTTAACATACCACGAAAGATCGCATATGACAAAAATCTCGTTAGAAAATATGAACTGCTTCCTTATTGCATTTCTGAAGGACTAATAAAGGATATGGAGAAATATGTACCAAAATAGATCCAATAAAAGAATTTTCGTGTAATTAGCAACAACATCTGCATTGTGTTTCATATTTGAATTCTCTCAAGATAGCGATAACAGCTTTTTTACATGGATTACGTAGTTTTCTGTCTCTCAGTCGTCTAACACTATTTTCCATCTATTCTATTTAGATATTAGTAATGTACACTCCAATATACTCTAATCCACGCTAGCATTCGTTGGACATAACGAAATCATCAATCGATAGACCTACGAATTCTCCAATCATAAGACTTCACACTAAGCTGTTTACTTTAAATACTCTTTAACAAAATGATTGAATATTATTTCGATTGGTTCACTCGAAGCCTGAGTTCGAGTGATCCGGAGTAGTCTAGAGTGGATTCATCAAAATAATAGTCGATTCTTTTATCAAAGATTTCTTTTTTAAAGGGAATAGATTGGTATAGATCTCATGAATGAAGAATTTAAAGGTTTTTTGATCGATAGTTTCTTCGAATTGAAGATTAGTTGGGTGCACTCTAACGTATTTTACTAATAGTGATTTCTTTCTAAAATCTTTCGGAACCAAGAAAACTTTAAAAAGAATAATCGTGAATATCCAGTTGCCGACGCTCAGGTGGTTCAACCGAGCCAGCGCCGAAAAATAAGACAAAATTGAAAATTTCAAGCCGCAGCCTCTCACAGACAAAAACTGAAAATAAATTCTGTCGCTATCCCCGATTAATATGGGTGTGACTTTAAATATAGATTTCTGCGAAATTCAAACCGTCAGGTGCATCCTCAATTTCACACCCCAACACACCCACACCCTTCGAATTGCATGATTCCAGACAAGCGAAAAAAAATACATCAGTATCACATTGTTTAATTTAGAAGTTTGAATACTAATATATAACAGTAATCAGCAAAATCCAATTTTCACTTCTAATCAACATATATAGATATGTCGTGTGAATCACTATCACAGAGCGACAATATGAGTTATTATGATATATGGTTATTAAAGTTATTAGACTATACTTATTATATGTGAATAGCATTCTTTTTCCAATCTAACATATTAATACATTTTAATCGTGCCAAGTGTGATATATTATTTTTTTTCAAATACTACTTCTTCACACATTTCCAATCTAAAAGCTTTCTGCATTAGTCAAAACGATATTCTTTTAAAGGATAACGAAATTTCTTTGCAGGCTAGTAAGTTAAAAACCAATCATTAACATCAACTACAGTGATATTTGGATGTTCACAAGTCTACTAGCCTTGCTCATTGCTTCACGTAGATAACTAATTGTTCACGAAATGTTTCTTTTTACATAAAGACGCTCAAGGTATCATCGAATTCCGTAGATTTTTTCGAAACTTCACATTCATACAGTTTCATCGTTATCTTTCGTCCTTCGTTGACAGTATTCATTTGCTCACACATCATTGGATACTCCCGGATTGTCTTGATTAAATTATAAATCTCTGATAAGTTCATTTGAGTTTGTTTACGCTCAAATTCATTCAAGTATTTCTCGTATTCTATACTTAGGTCTTTCAAATTGTCGATCAATTGCAAATTCAAATGATTGGGATTCTGATTGTCACATAGGTAATTTTCTTCGCTTATCATTTGAACAAAGCCAATGGAAAATGGATCAGTCTTTGAGAAACCAGTTGAATGTATAAGAAAATAAGAAAGTTCTGCACTTGCATGACAAAGTTCGCATAACATATCACTTATTTTATCTTGATTATACTTAAACGATTTTTTTGACAATTTATATTCGAGTTTGTAATCAATTGAAATATGTTGATCAAGAGAACATTCACAAGTACAATGATTATTTTGAATTTTATGTGGAATAATTTTTGCAATCCAAAACTGTCCAACTAATAATGAATAAGGTACACATGAAATACAGATAGTAGCTGGAAAAGAAATAACTTTTGGATACAATTCCAGTGAAACATTTACAGAATCCTGTGTACTAAGAATAAGATTTCGAAGATAATTTCTCATTGTTTCCAAGATTGGACGAATCATATGAATAATTTCAAATTGAACATATTTCATTGATTGTAAGTTACCTTCTATATGATAAACAACGACGCTTTTACGAATATAATCAATAAGACGTTTTGATTGAGTTACTGAAGTTGACCAACTCATTCCATATTCATGTTTTTCATCATCATTGAACTTAATTCTATTTTGTAGAGCAACCAAATAACGAAACGATTCATTATCAAAACAAAATGTATTTTCTTTTTTGAATGGAACATCACCAATTGAGAGAGAACTGAGCATCTTTTTAACTAATGGTGCAGTATCTCCAGGTGTATAAAATGTCGATCGAGCACTAGTAAAACAAAATATAATATTATTAAGAGCATTTCGATCTAGAAGAGAGAATAATTGAGTAAGACATGATCGAAAAAATATGTTCAGTCTTGATGAATTTGGTTTAAGAAGAAAACATATGGCATTTAAATGAGTAAAATTGCTCAGATATTCTAAAATATGTTCCATATTACGATCATCTTGTTCAATACCTCGTGTATCACCAAAACCAGGTGTATCAATAATACGAAGTTTTTTTCGATCAGAATCATTTAGATTAAATACATAAGATTTACAACGTTGTGTAACAGATTGACCAGGACGATCGAAAACTTCATTGTTTAGGCTATCTACATCACCAAATTTGACTGTATGTTCTTCAAAATTATCACCAACAGTGGTAAGAAATGAAACAGGCATAAGTACCATTGGTTGACTTGTTTGAGCCTTTTCCAGTGTGTTGAATGTAAGATAATTGGCGAAAGCATTGATGAAAGTCGATTTGCCAACTCCAGTTTCACCAAGAAGAAGAATATTGATAATGTTAGAACTTGATGATAACGTTTCTTCTTTCTTTGATTTCTTGTTCTCATCAGAGCGTCTGTTTGATGATAATATCATCATATCTTTCAGTTCAAAAGAAGAGTATGAAAAATCAGCATAAATAAGACATATTTCAGGATGTTTTCCCCTTTGTTCACACAAATTATCCAATAATGTCTGGAACTGTTTCGTATTGATTTTGATTAAATGATCATTAGAGCAGAGAATTCGATTTTCTTCATTATCGAAAACTAATTTTTGTTCGATTGTCATTTTATTATCTGTTTGATCAATACCATATTCGACAACATCGAAATATTGAATTTTTTTTTCTTTTAAATCCATGATCAATTTTCCTTTTTCTTTTAAATCATTCAGATTTTTAGTTACTTTATTAAATTTATCATCAAAATCGTTTTGTTTTTCCAGAGAAATTGTTTTGTCAATAATAGAAATATCACTTCGACCATAACAAACATCATTAATTAAATGTTTCAATTGTTTAATATCATTTTCATATAAATTCTTTAAATATATCCATTGTTGTTGCAGTTGACATAGTTGTTCTCCTAAATGTCTATTTAACATTTTTGTCACTTTGTAATCCAATGAGTATTTCAAGTCTTTAAGTTTGTCTAAATATTTTAACAAATATTTTTTCTAGTTTTTCATTGTAAGTCGACTCTAATTGAATAATTGGTGAATCTAATCGATTATATTGTGGATTGAATAATTCTATAGGTTTTAGAGTATATTCCAGAGGTCGAAACACCTTATAAACTTCATTGCGTTTATTGATAAATTGACAAATATCATTCATTGAAGTCATTCCATTGAGATAAGATATATTGGAATAGACTATGATAGTAGTATTTTCTCCAAGGAATCTTGCATCATCTGAATTCAGAGTTGTTAGTTCTGACGCTCCTTTTAAAATGCTTTCGACTTTTTTAAGTATTTTATCTATTTGTGTGACAATATTATTGTTAGATGATAATCGTATAATAATAATAGCTTCAATTCCCCAATCAATACTTGCTATAATATGAGTAGCATTAGTTTGAAGATTTACTGATTGGATCAAGTTTCTAACTTCTCTTATATCTTCTGGAAGTTTTTCAGTTTTCTCTTTGTAAGAATAATGTATAAAGCGAGTATATTCATTTATTGGATAAGGATAGTTGATAATTGAGGCTAATCTGTTTCGTGGGACAATATTCAATAAGATATTTAGCCGCAAAACATTTTCAATTCCAATAATCCGAAGAAGATTTCGACTTTGGCATGTATTGCCATGTATAATCTTACATCGGACAGGATCCTCCGGTAATTTAAAACTTTGTCCTCTATTACTCATATTGATTTGTTGAACTATAGAATCAGAATATTGATCATAAAGTG